AATCATGTTTAAATGCTTTAACTCCTGCGGCGCTTGGGTGGCTCAGGCAGTTAGGCATCTGAGTTCGCTCAGGTCATGATTTCATGGTTCGTGGGTTCGAGCCCCGTGTCGGGCTCTGTGCTGACAGCTCAGAGTCTGGAGTCTGCTTCAAATTCTGTGTCTCCGTCTCTCTTTCCCTGCCCCCACTGGCACTCTGTCTCTCTTTCAAAAATAAACACTTTTAAAGAATTAAATTCTTTGACTCCTTACCAAAATCGCAAAGTAGATTCTCTTTTTATCTGTTTTATTTCTCTTTATGAGAAAACTGACACTTGGAGGGATTGAAGGACTTGACCCAAGAGTATCAGAGTCATGACCTTAACCCTACATCCACACTAGCTTTGGAGGAATTGATTAGACACCTGTTAGACACCAAACGTCCTGAAGAAGACGACTGTTGAATGACCTCACTCCCTGCTGATGATCTGCCTTTGTCAGACCAAACTATTGAAAACCTCACCTGTTGTGGAGGGAAGCTGAGATAAAAGAAACACTACTTAGTCTTCCTGTCAAGAACCCTGTGCACTGCTGCTTCCCCTGCCCCCGGTTTCCTAACACGTCTTTCCAGTGGTAACTATTTCTGTTCCTTTAAAGATAGTTCCCTGAGTACCTGAGAAATAATACCTGTTTAGCTGTGCGGCTGAGTTCTGTGGCAATATCACAGCCCGAGTTTCCCAGGCCAATCACCAGGACTCGCTTCCCCTTGAATATTCCTGGTTCCTTGTATTCCCGGCTGTGGAAGCATTTGCCTTTAAAAAGTTTTAGTCCTGAGTGAAAAGTGGCAAACATATGAGTCATTTGGTTTCCATTTAAAAATCCGCTATAAAAGGCTTGTAGGTGAATGCAGTCAGAATGATATGGAACTTCAACACTCCAGGAATATTACATATAATAGAAGCATATGTTAATTTAATCATATATATATATATATTTTTTTTATTTTTATTTATTTTTTTTAAAACATGATCAAGATAGTCATTCGTGCCAAATGTATAGATGGCAGCCTAAATTTCACCCTTACCTGGAAAGGACTCTTTTGGTAGGTTGGGGTACACGTGGTGTCCAGAACAAATTAATACAGCATCAAAGACAGTGGATTCTTTTTTACCATCCCTTTCAGTGGTAACATCCCATTGGCCGGTGACTGAGAAATCGGGACGTTTGTTTACACTAGATACAAGTGTCTAAAAGAAATAAAGACAGACTTCTTTTCTATGCTAACAGTTAGATTTGGCACCAACTTGATAGAGTAGTATGGAAAAAAATCGTTAACATTGGATTAGGAAAAATACTTAATTCATTCTTAAGGTACATATTATGAATTTAAAATTCAAGAAAATCAAACATTAAATGGTAAATACATATTTTTGTCCTCACATGGCTTCTTGTGCATAACCAATATGTTCTGCAGACCAGAGTGACTCCCCTCTTGGAGATATGATGTGAATTTAATCACAGCTTACAACTGGCATGTATCACACATACTGAGTAATCTAGTGGATGATAGTTTTTGTTTTTTTGTTTTTATTTTTTTAACGTTTTTTATTTATTTTTGAGACAGAGAGAGACAGAGCATGAACGGGGGAGAGGCAGAGAGAGAGGGAGACACAGAATCAGAAGCAGGCTCCAGGCTCTGAGCCATCAGCCCAGAGCCCGACACGGGCTCAAATTCACAGACCGCAAGATCGTGACCTGAGCTGAAGTCGGACGCTTAACTGACTGAGCCACCCAGGCGCCCCAGGATGATAGTTTTTGTAGTAACAACTACCTCCTAATATACCTCTTCCATTTTATTTTTTTATTTTTTTTTTATTTTTTATTTTTTTATTTTTTATTTTTTTTTATTTTTTT